GAAATATAATTATATACTTTTTCCAGTGTCCGCCCCCTCCCCGAAAATTCTACCCCCGCCCCCGAAAATTTCAAGTACCCCCCCACCCCTCTCCGGAAAGGAAAAAAGTGTCGCGCTTAGCCACTACCCGAAGAATTGCATTAAAGAAATTGCAAGAAAACCACTTTTTAGATTAGACACATTAATTAGGCGGTAATTTTATTATAGAGTATCGATGAAGAAATTTCTTTTGAGTTAGGGGTGGGGTCTCAGACGTTCTTACGCGGGGATGGGGCTTCGCCCCTACCCGAAGAATTGTATGCAAGAAACTCTTCACGCAAACCATTTAGATTAGACAAAATTGCCTTTTTATTCAATGTTTACTCGATAATCAATGACGTCATATTACTGTGTGCACTCTCGGGCTTGAGATTATTTTCTACTCTATGCTAAATGTGACGACGTCATACTTCGTTTTTCGAATTACTATGCTTGTTTTATTTTGCTAGTGTTTTCTCTAGAGCGTTTTTGTCAGATAGATACATACACAGACAGCGAAACTATTATAGACGAGAAAAATGGCCCGTTGAGGAAGGATACAACGGGCGCTAGGCTGATAGTGCTGTCTCTTTTCTCTAAACTGAAACCCCCCCCCCCACCCCCCCCCCCCCCCCCCCAAAAAAAAACATGTCTACCCGTCCCATTCAACGAAATATAATTATATACTTTTCCCAGTGTCCGCCCCCTCCCCGAAAATTCTACCCCCGCCCCCGAAAATTTCAAGTATCCCCACCCCTCTCCGGGGAGGAAAAAGTCTGAAAGAAACACTGGTGTCGCGCTTAGCCACTACCCGAAGAATACTTTTTAGATTAGACACATTAATTAGGCGGTAATTTTATTATAGAGTATCGATGAAGAAATTTCTTTTGAGTTGGGGAGGGGGGGGGGGGGGCTCAGACGTTCTTACGCGGGGGGGGGGGGGGGGGGGCTTCGCCCCTACCCGAAGAATTGTATGCAAGAAACTCTTCACGCAAACCATTTAGATTAGACAAAATTTTCTTTTTATTCAATGTTTACTCGAGAATCAATGACGTCATATTACTGTGTGCACTCTCGGGCTTGAGATTATTTTCTACTCTATGCTAAATGTGACCCGCGTCATACTTCGTTTTTTCGAATTACTGTACATGTTTTTATTTTGATTGTGTTTTCTCTACAGCGTTCTTGTCAGATAGATAGATACATAGACAGACAGCGAAACTATTAGTATTAATAAGTGGATCGTCCATAAATGATGTCACATACTGCCAGAGTTTCTTCCAGGCATCTCTTCGGGGGGGGGGGGGGGGGGGGGCGAAGAAAGTCTACCGCCCCCCCCCCCCGTACGAAATGGAATTTATATAGAAAGTATATACTTTCGACAGTGTCTGCCCCCCCCCCCCCCCGAAAATTTCAAGTGCACCCCCCCCCCCCCCCGGAGAAAAAAGTCTGGAAGAAACACTGCATACTGCTAGGGGATGGGGGGAATCGGGGATACTGATAGGGGTACACGTGACGAGTTAGCATTTTAAAATTATATTTAGCAGGAGTTAATTTCGCATATTTGATAGATCTAGTTTTTAGCGCAATTTCCATTCTGGAGAATTGCGTTTATTAACCCGTCATTTCTGGATGGATGGAATGGATGGATGTGTGTTCGCAGCTTTAAGTCGTATCTCCTCCTCAACGAAGCAATATCGAGGACTAGTTCCAAAGCAATTATGTTAAGCAAGTTACGAGGATGATAGTGGGCCAAAAAAATTCCGGGTTTCTTTCATGGATTTCCCGAAAAAGCCAAAAAAACTCGAAAAAATGCAGTTTTTGGCCCATATCTCGGCAACCAGACCACTTAGCGACTTGAAACATTTACCAATCGATTCCTGCCATAATTTATAACAATATTGCCGAAGAAAGTTTTCAAAAATATCCTTTCGTTCGGTCACAAAATTTTTTTAAACTTACATTATACATAATAATACACTACAGCAGTGGCGTAGCGAGGTCGGGTGTCACCCGGTGCGGCACTTAATGGTGTCACCCCCCCCCCCCCCAGAGGCATAGAGATCCTTCCCAGGGACAAACTTTCAAATTTTCGATTTGCACCCCCCTCAAACTTTCGATTTGCACCCCCCCCCTCGAGTTTTCGATTTGCACCCCCCCCCCCCTCAAACTTTCGATTTGCAGCCCCCCTCGAGTTTTTCTCTATATAATTTGCTATTTTTTGCCTTGGTGTCACCCCCCTAAATGGTGTCACCCGGTGCGGTCCGCACCCCCAGCCCCCCCCCCCTCGCTACGCCCCTGCACTACAGTACTATATAGCAATATACTTATATGACTAAAAACCATTGCGCGCCTACTGAACGTGATGGGCGCAGCCATGGAACGTGATGACGCATCTATTGAACGTGATGACGATTTAAAATTGTTATGGATAACATAAGGAAATTGCGCTTAAATTGTCACTAGACTTTTTAATTAACTTGTTTTTTCTTTTGTTCTTAGTAAAAAAAAATTGACCAAGTTAGATCCTTATTTGTTAAACTGTTTAGACTCAAGTATCAGCCTAAATGTTGATTAGCAAGTTTGTTTGTTTTTATTTACAAAATCAGCTTACTAGTAACTTGCAAGGTTTTTCGGAGCTCGATATTTTTATTATATTTGTGTGCAAAATGCTTTTGTTTTTGGATAAATAGATCAATTGTTATAAAAAAAAAAGAAAAGTTTCCCTTTCAAACCTGACGGTCTATGGGGCAAGAGAAGTAGAGTTCACTTGTTTCTGTGACCTCGGCATATGAAGAGATAGTGTGGTCAGCACTATGCCCAGCCGCCTTTACTTTCCCTAACATGAGTTAGGTACCCATCATAGTTGGGTGTACTCAGGGACGGTCTACTGACTTGAACCCGGATTCGAACTCGAGACTAACGGGTTAGCAGTCCAGCTCTCTACCGCTAGACCACTCCGTCCCCTATCAATTGTTATATTCGAAATAAAATACAAGAAAATTGATATCAGTGGTTGGGGCTGAAGTCTGAGTAGCTGCATAGGGGCCATCCATAAATGACGTCACGCTTTTTTGGACGATGTTACCTCCCCCCCCTCCCTTCGTCACACGTCGTCACAAAAAACCAGACCCCCTACTAAAATGACGTCACACTTCAGCCTAAAACCCCCCTCAAAATTGCAGTTGAATTTTTCTTAAAACATCGGTATTTTTTCCAAAATCTTGTCTGAACTATGTCAACATAGAGTATTTAAATCTATTCCTATTAGAATTTATTAAAACAGTTGTCTAAAACGCGAAATAACAGCTAAAACTCGTTTTCTAACATTGCTTTTTTATAATGCAAAAGTGTGACGTCACACCATCTGAACACCCCCCCTCCCCCCTCATCACACACCGTCACAAAATTTCGGACCCCCCCTCCCCCCTTCAAGTGTGACGTCATTTAAGGACGACCCCTTAGGGTAGTTTGCGTCTGACTGTGATGATCTTTGGATGGGGGTATGTGTGTGGCGATGGACGACTCTAAATAATAAATGACAATTTAATTATTATTTTGGTAGCTTTGCATTCAGAATGATAATCAACACACCTGTATGCTGTCAACATATTTTTTTTAAAGCAAAAATAATTAAACACTATCCAGCTATTTGGCATTTACACTTTATCTGAGCATTATAGAAATTGTTAAAAATTACTCCACTGTATCATTTCAAAATTTTATTTTTGGCAAATAACTTACCATTTATTGATGCTTTTTTTTTATGTTTGGCTCTAACTTCATTGGCAACCCAGTAAATGTATTTGATTGTTTCTTTAATAAAAACCGATTTGGTCAAGTGTTTAATTGAAAATATACCTTTTCACTTTAGTGCGTCGTGGATAAAGCTCCACAGTTTTTATAGAAAAGAGAAAATCATGTTACCAGCCAACCCATACTAATGATACATTTCAATAAGTGTGTATGCGGTAGAGTGATTTCTTTGACAACCCGACTCTATAATGTCCTATTTGAAATTCATTGTATTACCTCGGCCCACACCCCAGTAAGGGTTGAGGTAGTAGCAACAATGGTTAAATTGTTTTTCTTCTATTTAATAACAAACTGTTTATCAAGTGTGTCCTTTTTACTTTCTCGTATACAGAGTATAGAGGAAGTATTGTAATCGTGCACACAAATCACTTGCAATAATGACAGTTTTCGCCGTTTTACACCTTAGTGCTCATTATAGGGGACTTATTTTAATCGGGCAAATATTCTAAATCCAGATTTATCAAAATCTTGGTGTTTTACGCGTCATCGAGTTAGAAAAACTGGGCTTTGCAATTTTGTCCGTGTGGATGTGTGTGTGTGTATGTGTGTGTCTGTGAACACCATAACTTGAGTACCGATTTAGTTATGTTGACGAAATGTCAAGAATAGGTATTATATTTAATTTATATTTTTGTATCAACTTTGAATGATTTCCGGTAGACGGAAGGGGTACTTACTAAACTTGTAGTTTTTGAAAAGCCAATAACTTGATTACCCTTTGTGTTAAGTAGACGACATTGCACATGTAAATATTAAATTGCATGCGAATACTTCTGTCAAATTTTGAATGATTTCCGTTAACCAGAATGGTTTTTTACTCTATTTCCGTGTGAAGGCTATAACTTGAGCAATGTTCCAGGTACTTGGACGAAATTTCTTATATAAGTACAAGTGCTTTTACTTGGATTAATCTCCAATTTTTAGTGACATCATTAACTTCATTCAGACCGATTTCATCAAAGCTTTTTACATAGGTCAAGACCTCGATGACAACGCACTGTGACATAAAATGTGATTTATTTTAAAAGAATTATTTATAGTTGTTTTTTTTAAAACTGATCAGTGTAAACTCTCACATATAAAAATGTTCAGACTAAATGAATATAGTTTTTCTGATGTAAATATTTTTTTAATATCATAAACATATTGATCATTTTTATTCTTTGCAACTGTCCTCTGCGTGATCATACATTTCTTTTATCTCATTAGCAAAGTATTTAGAAACATCCTCCCGTTTTGTTTTGAATGTGGGAGTTAACATTTCATTTTCAACAGAGAAAAGTTCAGGGTGTATGTGAATATCTTTCACCTAAAACATAAAAAAAAGTGTCAATTAACAAATTCCAGTAGTCGAAACATTTTTGGCATAGTTATAAATAATGGAATGGGGTTATTCGTCCATAAACCTAATGCTATTCCACTTTACTATGTTATAATTATACATTTTGTCAAAAGACTTGATTTTTATGAAAGGCTATAAAATCTGTGATCTATGCCTGACTGCCAAATCAAATGTGTCAGCATTTCTAATTATCTGTTGCGTTGCGCATTTGAAAACAGTGTTAAACATTTAAAATTTAACATAGCTCATATAAAAAACAAGCAAAATATATGTGGGGATGGGGGGGGGGGGGGCTACCTTATGGCAATCTTTTAACTCTAGTTTTCCTAAAAAAAAGGGTTGGAAAAAAAAACGTCGGCTCATGGTTCTAAGTATATCCACTAGTCAAACAAAAGAAAAACGTTTCTTACTATTTCAAGGGGTGATAAACCACTCCTTATTCCAAAATCTGTTAAATCTTTAAGAATTGTTTTTTTCACTTCCTGTTCAGTGGAGAAAATTTTATTAAACACATAACCACAAAGTTGTATTAAGTATATACATTTTGTATTCTTTCTTAAAATTAAATTAACTTTTTCAATGTGCTGAAGGATAACACCAGCACATAAAAGACAATAACCTTCTAATAGTATGGTTTATTAAATGAATTTAAAACAAAATAAGGGGTTACAAACCTTGTTGTGTATGAGCTCCTTTATACTACCATTGAAGCCAAGCTTACTACATAAAGCTGGAAATGTTTCTGGGTCTGGAATTACAATCCCCACCAAAAACGCCTGTTTAAAAAAAAAATATTTATGAGACAAACTATTACATTCCATTCATTTCATTGACTGTAAAAGTAATAATCTACAAGCTACAAATAATTGCCCTCATATAACAAAAACAATCCACATTTTATTATTAATATACCAGTATATATGAACAAAAATCCCAATAAAATATAACAATCAATTAACCTTGCTTATAAAGCTACTATGGATAAAAGACTACCTGTAAACTATCAGCATGTACATAAATTTGAGCAATGTATGGCAACTGTATAAGAATGTTTTCTATCTTTTCTGGTGCAACAAACTCTCCCTAAGATTAAAAATACATTTTACATTTAATGGATAGTTAACTTAAAATTTATCAAGCATGTTAAAGTCATATGTTCCAGAGGACCAGTTTTATGAAAAATAAACATGAATGGTTTGCTTTAAAATTTAAGACAAAACTATATGTTTTTGTGAAATCAAGATGTAAAACAGTAAAGTTTCCCTTTCAAACCTGACAGTCTATGGGGCAAGTGAAGTAGAGTTCACTTGTTTCTGTGACCTCGGCATATGAAGAGATAGTGTGGTCAGCACTATGCCCAGCCGCCTTTACTTTCCCTAACGTGAGTTAGGTACCCATCAGAGTTGGGTGGACTTAGGGACGGTCTATTAACTTGAACCCTGATTCGAACTTGAGACTTACCGGTTAGCAGTCCAGCTCTCTACCGCTAGACCACACCGTCCCTAAATCAAGATGTGAGAACTGTTAAACATAAAACTAGCAATAGCAAAGATTGAGTCAAAGATTACCTGGGATAGTTTCAGTAAACTTTTCTTTCTGCTTATTATTTTCAATGTCCCATTCTGTAAGTAAGAAAAATAATTGTAATCACCACAAGAGTCAAGGAAAGCCCCCCCCCCCCTCCCGAACGAAATGGAATTTATATAGAAAATATATACTTTTAGCAGTGTCTACCCCCTCCCCCCTGGAGAAAAAAAGTCTGGAAGAAACACTGGTCTTGTTATGACACACTGCAATCAAATGCACACACCACCCCCAACTACAACCTCTTTTCTCCCTCTTGCCCCTTCCCTACTTCCCATTATGTAGCATAACAAAACATTTTGAGTTTGCAGTGATTATTAAGTGTTTTTTTAAAAAGGGCATTATTTCATAATAGTGTCAACAAACTAACGCAAAGAGTGTATCAACTTTTTCTTTCTTTCCTTGTGGAAAAAGTGTTTTTTTTTTAATTTGTGGTTTTTTTACACTTGATTTGGCCAGGACAAAAATTACAATTATTTTTAAAAAGAGCAAAGACAAGTAGAATGATAACTGAGTGAATGCAATAAAATAGAAGCTTACAGCAGTCCACTCTCCAATATCTCCGGTATGAAGCCAGCCATCTTCATCTAAAGCTTCTTTGGTTTTTACAGGGTTCTTCAAATAACCCACAAATATGTTGCCTCCCTTTAAACATATCTGGATAATAAAATAGGACAGCAGAAAACTATAATATATACAAGGTTAACATGCAATTCTGGTTTCAATGTTGAAAATAGGTTGTAAATGTAATTGAACAAATTTGTTGGTTCATTTTTTAAAATGATGGTTAAATGATACCCTAAACAAAAGCAATCTCACCTCTCCTTTGTTGTTATTAGAATGGTAACCCATTTCTGGAACATCTACTAGCTTAATCATGGTACATGGTAATGGGGGTCCAACATGGCCTTAAGAGAAAAAAAATTAAATTGGAAAGAATAAAAATTATTTTTTATAAGTAGAAAATTAAAACATAACAATTTTCAATATCTTACCAGAATCTGGGTCACAAATTATTGTTAATGTACATACACCTGAATTTTCTGTTTGTCCATAGCCTTCAAGAATCTGATTAATAAATTAATAAGTATTTAATTACTATTAATAAGTAGATATGTATTTTACAAAATAAAAAAATAAATAATATTGATCATTTGGTGATGAAGATTCTACTTTTAATTTAAAATAATCAAAATTATAGAAATTGGTAATAGCCTATCATGAGTAATGACAAATAACTTAATACTGTTTCATTCTAAAATTCAACTTTTAAAAAACTTTTGATGACTGACTCAGACATTTTTCTTTAAAAAAAATGTTTAGCCTTGCAATTGTTTCTAACAGAATTAAGACTTAAAGAATATGTGTACTATCCCATAGAAGATTATTATAGGGAAGAATTAAAGTGTTTTACTACTTACAGGACAGCCAATTATACACCTCAAGTAAGTTAATACATTCTCTGAGATTGGGGCTGATCCTGTTGTTATGAGACGCACACGACCACCGAGGGCTTCTTGGATCTTTCGGAAAATAATTTTATCCCACAAGCTGTTGTTTCTTATCACCCCTCTTAGGACAGTAATAAAGATTTCAAGTTTCATTGAATTAAAACCAATCAGATACAAATGTTTAAATACAGAGGAGTAGCGACCCTTCACGGCGGCTGGGGACTAACTTTCAATTTGGCGCCCCCCCCCTTGCTACGCCTCTGTTTAAATAAGAAGTTGAATTATAATGTATTGCACATCTATAGAGTGGATTTATGAGTTAAGAATGTGGACCTGTATTACAATTTGTTGCTAAAATGTATAGAATAATGTATAGCAATAAACTCACTGTTTCAGTTCTCTAGTTTTACTGCTGACAGCCAGGTCAAACAAGAATTTCTTGAGATTGCTGGAATTCACACCAGTCATTACCTCAAAAGAATAAGAATCTTTAAAAACTGCTCAAGAAATTCACCTGATTTATTTTCTTATAAAACCCAATGCTGCATGTATGTTACCTTATCATAAAACCTATTCAATAATCTAGGCACTGTAGGAAAGAGGGTAGGTTTGAGTTCTTTGATGTCATCCATTAATTTTCTGACATCACCTTGGAAAAATCCAATACGAGCACCTACTATCAAGATACCACCCTGAAATTTTTAAAACTATTTTTAAAAATCATAATAGATAAATTATATTTTTGCATAATTAGCTTTTATGCAATGACAACTATATTGCAACATTTTGTAATATTGAATTCTCACCTCAATGATCCTTTCATAGGAATGTGCAAGTGGTAGGTAGGAAATCAATGAATCTTCTTGTTTCAATATTATTCCACATTTTTCCTAAAGAAATATAGGCTTGCTTTAATGACTACAAATAAGCACTTAAATAGTAGAAGCAGTTATTTTGATGTTTTATAAGTAACAATAAAAAACAAAATGTCTGGTTTATTATGTCGAAATCAAAGCTAGACTGCAACTGTAAGATGAGGATTAGTCTGACTGTTGAGTAAGTCTGCTTAGTTTTTCATAAACAATGTCAAGGTTGGAAAGGGGAAAGGGAGGAGAGAAGACAACAGGAATTGGGATTTTTTAGAGGTTTTATAGCAAGTCTGGAAATTCTTATTATTTGAAATTCTTATTTTCCAAAAGACAAAGTTTTGTGTTAGTTCTAGTCACCAAGGTTAGAATTAGAATGATTAACTGGTAAAACATGCTATTGCTAGCTTGATGCTTTATTTGGTTTCTGCATACGGTTAGAATGCTTGATGATTTATTTTGTTTGTACATATGATTGAAAAAGTAACACAAGAAACATAAATTTTCCAGCATAGATACAAAAGATCAAAGAAACTTGGACTGTTCACATTTTTATATTACGTTGTTTATAAATTTTAAGATATTGCTCAAAGAAAACACACTTACAAATAAATGAAAAATCCCTGAAATACATGCTATCATATTTGCATGAGTTAACATTACTCCTTTAGGTGTACCTGAAGTATTAAAAAAAACATGTTTGAGAAAAAAAAAAGAAACCTTATACATTGTAAAAAAGCCTAAAAAATAAAAGAGGAGCATAAGAAAAATATCAAACCTGTTGTGCCACTTGTATAACAAACCATACACAAATCACTGGGTTTGGGGGGCTGAAATACGATTTGTTTTACTTCAATATCTTTAATTTAAACTTTGCAAGTTTAGTTTCAATGTTGTGAAAAGAAATTAGAACAACTATCTATATTCAAAAGATAATCAAATTTTTATGAAAAAATACTTACTTTAGCTTTAACTGGGTTTTCTCTGCCCAACTTCTGTAAAGGATAAAAATATGAAAAAAAATTTAATAAGCCTAGAGTAATCTCATAAGAGAACTTGGAGAAGTTTACAATTTTTGCAACTTTATTTAAACATGTGATTATAAAAAATGTGACTGCTTTTTTAAAGATTTTAAAATTTCTATACAATTCTTGTACAAGCACAAAATAATGGTATCCTGATTAGTTAGCCATTTAGTTTTTTTTTTATTTTAAAAGTGATACAGAAAGAAATAAAAAAAACAATGGTATATATGCATATTTAAAAAGAAATATTGCCTCAAAGGAAAAAAAATACTTCATAAAATTTTCTGCATTTGCAAATTTTATTTTATTGCTTGCATTTTTAAATATTACATTTTCCAAAAAAAATTCTAAGCAATAATTTAATTTAAAAAAATAAATTAATTAAAGTAGGTTCATTTGAAATAGGACTAAGAAGGTTCCATGTCAACATTAATGAACAACATCCCTCTCAACTCATTAGAGTGATATAATTAAAACACCGTTAAAATATGCCACACCTTTCAAAATATTTTTAATATCATAATAAATCAATGCCTTCTGAAGAAACCCTAAAAAGCGACAACTAAACTAACAAACCTCAACATCTTCAAACTGTATTAAATGAACTCCATCATGAGCTGCTCTCGTCTTATTTTCTTCTGTAATTTTTTCCATTAAAATAATCCGTGTTAATACAGGAAACTTTTTCCGTCTATCAAGTAGTGCTGTAACTTTTGCATTGTTGTCACATACAACTGTGGAGAGGTCAGCTGAAAAAGATAGTTTTAAAAAAGTAAGCAGGGATGATTTCAGAAGTTCTTGTAATTTAACATCTGAAACTTTCAAATGTTAAACCCAGATTTAGCAAGCCACAAAAACAAGTTTACGAAGAGTGTTACCTTGATTTATAATAAAGTAACATGCTTCTATTCCGAGTGAATCATACAAAGGAACAGCAGTCATTGAATGCCTGTAAAATCCCTGATCAGCTATAGTGTACTGAGGAAGTGTTGTAAAGATTTGTCATAAAATACATTAAGAATAATGACTGGATGCACATTAGTTTTTAATTCGTAGAAGTTTTATAGTTAAACCTCAGGTCTGTTCTGAGCATACAATCCAACTCTTGTCTCATTTTGAGGCTTTAAACCAAGAGAAACCAGTCCAGAACCAAAGGCTGTGACTCTTTCATTGACCTGTCAAGAGTATTAAAGATTTTTAAGTGGGTGCGAACAACTTGCAAAGAATAAAAAGGACAGTAACTTAAAATATGCACATTCAATAACTATATTTATGTGTGCAATATTGTTGGCTACATATAAATATTTTTACATTAGAAAAAGGTGAATGTTCTTAAGACAGTAGCTATTTTTTTTAGTTCCAATAATCTAACAGTGCCTAAACTTAAATTTTCTTTTGCTCATAGGGGTCATCCATAAATGACGTCACACTCGTAGGGGGGAGGGGGGTCCGTAATTTTGTGACGATGTGTGATGAGGGGGGGGGGGGGGGTTCAGATGTTGTGACGTCACATTTTTGCATTATAAAAAAGCAATGTTAGAAAACGAATTTTAGACGTTACTTCGCGTTTTAGATAACTGTTTTAATAAATTGTAATAGTTTAGACAAGATTTTGGAAAAATATCAATGTTTAAAAAAAAATCAACTGCAATTTTGAGGGGGTTGTTTGGTTGAGGTGTGACGTCATTTTAGGGGGGGGGGGGTCTGGCTATTTGTGACGACGTGTGACGGAGGGGAGGGGGGAGGTAAAAATCGTCAAAAAAGCGTGACGTCATTTATGGATGACCCCATACCCACTGAGCCAGTAAAGAGACAAAATGGCTGATCTGTAGTAAAAATTATTTGTGTAAAAAACAGGTTTATTGTTTAGTATTGGATTAATATGCATGGTTAGGTTTATGTATAAAATAATACATTTTTGACAGGATAAAAGGAGCGGCCAAAACAATGTGGCAAACAAATTGTGCACTGCTTTTCTGTTCTCATACTAAGATTTTGTCCATAAAAATACTTTGTAATATTTTAAATAGTGATATAATCAAAGATATAAATAACAATTTTAAAATCCCTAGAGAAAAATAATAAAATAAATAATTAAATACCTCATTATATGTTAACCATTGATAGGGTTTGTCTGGGGAAGGTTTCCAGCCCAGGCAAGGCTTGTCTCCTAAAAAAAAAATTAATCCTTATAAATGTCAACGCAAGTTTTAAATTTAAAAAAAAAGCAAATAATTATAATATATTAGGCATAAATAATATAAAGTTCTATTAAATAAACTACATTATGATGTTAATAAGCGAATCTAAATTAGTATGGCCAACCCTCAACATGTTTTGGGCCTTATGCACCTCTTTAAGGTTTTACCAGTCAGGTATATATAATGCTCCTAAGTCCACGGTTTTCATCGTGTGTTTTTTTTTTAATACCAACATTAAATTACCGTGAAATGGTAAGTTCATCTGACTTGCTGCCCTCAACTCATGGCAACAATAGTTATGTTTAGTTCAACCACCTTTACTGCCCACATTTATCACGCTCATTACATAACAAAACTTAGGGTCAAAACAGAAAGCCGACAAGGTTCAATGGCTGTCATTGACACACAACTTCAACAACACACAATATGTTCGGACAATGCCTACTGAGGAGAGGCCGACCAGAGAATAGCCTACGGCAAAATTTGCCTAAATTTCTTTTATAATTAACTTTTCTACCGCGTATTTAACTAAATACGTAACAAAAGTTGAGATTGTTGTGTAAATTATCTTAGAGTATTTTTACTTACAATTGTAATTGTGACTTTTTTTCTGTGACTTTTTTTTCCATTCACCATCAGAAATAGGTCAAGGTTGCATGGGTGCATTATATTGATGCTGGCATAAAGTGGCGGGGCTTAACATTTCGCCCTTTCACTTTTTGCAATAGTGGCTGGGCTCATTTGGACAAGGTCCTAACATTTTATAACTAATTAGGTCGATAAGAAAGCTATGTTTAAATAGTTGGAAAGCTACAACAATCTATTTCTACCTGAAATACGGACGCCTCTTTGGAAACTGTCATACATTGTAGTAACATCTTGATGCACACTAACTAGTTTATTGTCAACACATGTACTTGATATCCGTGCTCCATCGGTTGCCTAAAAGTTCAGATACATGATAGTGAAGTGGTGTAGGCATGATGTTCGAATGGGTGGGTGTGTAGAGGGGAGGAGGGGTCAAATTAATGTACATATATAGGCCTACACACACAAATATATATATATATATATATACAGAGGCGTATCCAGGTTTTCGTTGTAGGGGGAGCGAAAAGAGCAAAAAAAGGCGCCGAATTTTTAACACGTTCTATATACGTGTATTATATATATATATATATATATATATATATATATATATATATATATATATATATAGTTACTAGCTGTATGTCATTACTTTGCTATGATGTAAAATAAATTGAAACTAGCGCTCTAAAGAAGAAAAGACACACATGTAGGCCGACAAAACAAAAATTGTATCAATCTAAACAATATATATATATATATATATATATATATATATATATATATATATATATATATATATATATATATATATATATATATATATATATATATATATATATATATATATATATATATATATATATATATATATATATACACACACTACAACCAAAAACAATGAACGTAACACGATCTGTTTTGTAATTCTTGTAAAAAAAAATTACTTACCTAATAATTCCTGGGAAATTATTTAAGACAAGTGAAATAGGGGAAATAATCACTCTCTTAATATAAATATGTATATATCTACACATTTAATTATAAATGTCAAAACAAATAAATAATTACTTAAGAATATAATGAAATTCTATAATACTATTCGTGTTTACAAAATGTTTTTGTCTATAATCAGAATTCAATATATCGTCATCATAAATGCTAAAGTATTACAGCATTATAAAAGTTTTTAAAATCAGAGTTGGTATAAAAACACGCTTTTCGATGTGATAGAAAAACATCCGGAATAACAACCTACGTTTAACTAAATATTGGTCTTTTAATTCAGATCATATTTTTAATTAACTACTGTTTCATTTTTTAACATAGTGATAGATATGGGTTAGATCATTGTATTGATCGAACACCTTTTTACTGGTAATTGCAAAAAAAATATTCACAGAGTTTTACGTTTAAAAAGCTAATTTTCTGGCGGCATGGTACTTTGGTACATCATTACGCGTTTTTCTACATGTACTTAACAGATCAGTTCGGGGTGGGTTGGGGGGGGGGGGGGGTTCAACTTCATTCACCACTGTCCGGTCACTTTAGGTCAATTATCCAACCCAGGTTATACCTTGATGTGACATTAATGTCGCTCTACACAATTGTGGTGGTGAGGTGTGTGTGTGGGGAGGGGGGGGGAGAGTTAACCAACTCAGAGTGAATATAGCGTCAGTTTTTAGATGACTGTTCTTAACATACATATATATTACACAAATATATAGAGGTTTTTTAAACATTGCAATGCATGGTAATGGTTATTTTTAGAATGGCAAACTGATGCAGCTGTTAATACGTGTTGTAAACGTTGACACTACTACTTGGACAATTATGCTTAATTGCTGCATGAAACGAAATCTTGTGATTTACGTAGATGTGCCAACCAAAAATATTTTTTTATCAAATATCATTGTTTAAAACTTTGAGTTTAAAAAGTTTCCAAAAAGGCGCCACTTTGATGAAAATGGCCAGAGGGGGAGCGGCCGCTCCCCCTGCTCCCCCCTGCGTACGCTACTGTATATATATATATATATATATATATATATATATATATATATATATATATATATATATATATATACGTATTCACCCAACCCTTCTTATAGTAAAAAACAACAACTTACTTTTGTATTTTAGTGGTGCACAAAATACAAGATCAACGCGCGCCTGTTTAAGTGGCGTTGACCCATATATAAATATGTCGAAACCGATACGCGTTATCGAGCTCTGACGCACTTTATTAATATGGGGTCATCCCCCTCCCCTCCCTCACTTGTTGTCACAAAAAGCCAGACCCCCGCATCGGCATACAGCACCCTCACCCCTTAAAATTGCAGTTGTATTTTCTTAAAACATCGGTATTGTTTTTTTTTTAAATCTTGATCGAGCTCGGTCTACATAGAGTATTTTAATCAATTTTTATTTCAATTTATAAAAACAGTAGGTTGAGGTGTGAAGTCATGTAGGGGAGGGGGGGGGGGGGGGCTGGCTTTTTGTGACGACGTGTGACGGAGGTAAAAATCGTCAAAAAAAGCGTGACGTCATTTATGGATGACCCCTAACCCATATGTTGTGCTGTTGTAGTGTTGTCTGACTCAGGGATTCGATCAAGCGCTGGTTAAGAATCACTGATATATATATATATATATATATATATATATATATATATATATATATATATATATATATATATATATATATATATATATATATATATATATATATATATATATATATATATATATATATAGGCGACAAATCATAAGTTCAAACTGACTGATAAAATGTCGCTAAGCATTTTGATACGTTTGTCCGGATTTTTGTGAGAAGTGTAAAACCCATTTTGAATTTAAGTAAAGTTCCCTTTCAAACCTGACGGTCTATGCGGCAAGTGAAGTAGAGTTCACTTGTTTCTGTGACCTCGGCATATGAAGGGATAGTGTGGTCAACACTATGCCCAGCCGCCTTTACTTTCCCTAACGTGAGTTAGGTACCCATCAGAGTTGGGTGGACTCAGGGACGGTCTACTGACTTGAACCCGGATTTGAACTCGAGACTTACGGGTTTGCAGTCCAGCTCTCTACCGCTAAACTACTCCGTCCCATATTTTGAATTTAGTGTAGGTTAAAATCGTCGTAATAAATAAATGTAAAACTCCTAGTATTTTTGTAAATCCTATAGGGCAGGTAAGTAGGCCACCAACCAGTTCTATGGCTCAAGCAGGTTTTATTCAGCCGTAGAACTGGCTGGAGACCTACTTACCAGCCCTATGGTCAGTGGCTTAGCGAGGTCGGGTGTCACCCGGTGCGACACTTAATGGTGTCACCTCACAGAGGCGTAGCGACCCTTTCGATTTGCATCCCCTCACTCAAACTTTCGATGTGCACCTCCCCTCAAACTTTCGATGTGCACCTCCCCTCAAACTTTCGATTTGCACCTCTTAAAAGACTATTTACTATTTAACACTCGAATTAATCACTTAATTAAGTGGAATTATCATTTTTCTCTATATATTTTGCTATTTTTTTTGCCTTGGTGTCACCCCCCTAAATGGTGTCATCCGGTGCGGTCCGCACCCCCCGCACTCCCCCTCGCTACGCCACTGCCTCTAGTGTCAGCCTAGAGTTTCGTAGGAAATAAAATAAAATAAAAAACTCACTTTGTCGGGTCCTTTTAAAATTTTAGTTTGGTTATTTAAATCAAATTGAAGTTTATATTCGTATTCATCGCCACCAAACCCCATTGACATCTTCCGATAACCATATTTCAAATACGCAGGAGTTATGTTAGTGGTAATCACATGATCTGGTGTGCAACTAGATCTAGATCTAAATCTGTTTAAGTGCGAAGTTTGGTTTTTACGAAACAGATCAGTTCTCCAGCACGAAAGCGAAGCTTTGATGTACTGAAAACTCAATATTTTAAATTGACGGATGCGGTTAGAACGATACCTTACTGATAGGAACATAACTATTTGTTAACATACTAAGTTTAACTCTAGATCTAGATTCTAGATCTAGATTCTAGACCCTTTTGACGACGGAAGTTTCATTGTTTAGTAAATAATAGCCTACTCTCAACATTGCATCAAATGAATAAAAACATGTTTAGTTGGTTTAGAGAGTTTAGAAAATGAAATTTGTGCAACAAGTTACAACTATTCTCATGGCCCAGATCAAATAGTAGTTTTGGTTCGTACATAGATCTATATTGTAGGCCTATACCGTGAAGTCTCCCGTCGAGACATTGTTGCGTCTGTTACTAAACTTTTTAAGTTCATTTTAGATGAACGTTTAAAATAAACTGCTAACCCCACTTGCGTGTCTACGCCCCCCTCCCCCCCCCCCCCCCAAAAAAAACAAACAAACAAAAAAACAAGAAACAAACAAAGAAAACACGACCCTTCCCTTCCGCACGAAATGGAACAAATATTGAATCCAAATATAAAAATAAATGCTTAATCATAATTGTAACTAGGGAAAAGTAATTAACAAAATCCCTATACACTTTTCTTTTTTTTAAATGGGGGTGGGGGTGGGGTGAGTGGAAATGGGGGGCAATTTTTATTTTAAAATGTTATTGTTACTGCTTAAAGTGGCTCGCCCAAGATTTGTTGCTATTGTTTTTTAAATAACAAACCTTTGTACTTTATATTTCAGTGTTAAAGGTGTAAAGGCCTACCTTATTACGGAGTTACTGTTCTTGAGAAAGGGACATACCGATTCATGGTCTATGGTATTTACATAAATAAAATAAAAAAACCACTTTATATTAAAATAAGTTTTTGAATGCATCGAAAAGAAGAAAATAAAACTATTTATATATTTGATACAAAGTTAGTCGTAAAAACTATATAAAGACTACTATCTTCAATAATAATAGGGGAGATAACAAGATTAATCTCGATCAAGCCGGTTTCATTCAACTTTCATGCCTATGATCGACCACATGTGTTAAGAAGGGGCAGACAATTTACCTTTCGAGTTCTCGCGCTACTGATCGTTATTTTAGCCATATATATAACGTTTTAGTATGCAATGCAAATTTTAAAACTTGTTTTTTTTTTCATAAAAACATTTGTCGCTCACGAAATCTCTTACATATTTTTTAGCGACCATTACTTTTATTAATGTTAGTGTAAGCAAGTTTTCTATATTATTTCCCAGTGCATTTTAAATATTAAAGTTTTTTTTAAAAAATGTGTTATTTACATAGATTGAAAGTTTCCGTGCGCCCCCCATCACTTTTTTCGTCTCCCTTTAAAAACCCCTGCTACTTTTTTCAGCAGTCAGCTACACAGCACCCACCCCTTCACCCACATTACATCATTACCGTATGGCGTCATTAATTAAACCTATGTTTTACTAGTACCATAGCCACTTCAGTTTATAATAGGTGCATCAAAGCACTACTTGTAGACATACATCTTAAGACAATTTGACATCAAAGGGAAGGTATTCTGTTTTTCGTGTGGAATGGAAATGGCACATTTCAAGGATATATTGAAAATAAAAATTAACTTTCCTAAGGAAAAAAGTGATCTACATCTTTAATTTTATTTCAATTTTAAATGTTTTATTATGATGTATGACGAAAATTACACATTTGATTTCTCTTGTCAATTTAAAATTGTAAATCAGAAATGCTATCTCTAGCAGAGACAATAAATAAATAGTGATTTATTATAGGGTATACTCGTTACAAATCACTATTTCTTTTTAAATACACAAGACATTCATTTGCACAGCATAGAGTATCTTGACAAAACTGAACTTATATACCTGGCAAGGTGTTTTCAGCAAAATATACAAGAAACACATAGGTCAGTCAAACAGTTGTGTTTTATTTGGTTTCTAATCAAAGCATTTTTATCAACTTGGTCTGAATATCACAAATGATGTACACTGCAATAACACATCAAAGTGAGTTGGAATTCATAATTTCAAAAACCAACAAATTCTGCTTAGTAAAAAAAAACCTGATTTGTCTTAAAAAGTATATTTGATAAGTTATTGGAAATAATGGCTTTGGAGCTTAAAATATACTAAATGGCAGTTTTTATTTGTTTATAAAATGCCCCCATTTTTGTAAATTAAAAAATATACATTAGAATAATGCAAAAACAGAATGTTACAATTAGGCTTTATACAATCAAACTTGCCCTCAATTACTTTGTACATTAAGGTTTTAAAAAAATATGTGGGGTGAATACAATATCTTAATGAAAGTGATTTTAACCATTGATTGGTGGATTAAATTTGAAACAAAACTTCCAAAGAAACTAATAATAAAACTCCACAGAATTTCTATATATATTTTACTCTGCCCATCCTTTTGTAAAAAGGAGTTATAGTCAAAATAGCCGTTGATAATAATTATATAGCCTACCTTTATTTTTTAACAATACAACAGAACTTGAAAGAAGAAATACATTTTTTTAAAATCCAAGTAATGCTAACCATTACATTAAAGAAAAAAAATAGGACACGCCTTTAGTAGTGAAGTATAATTTTTTTATTATGGCTGATATTAAATGAATAAATGTATTACACATACTAAAACAAGACCAGCTTCTGTCAAAGTCAATAAGAGTTGTAAGATTTCTATCAGTTTCTAACCTTTGTGTGATCAGAATTGTAATTAGGGGCAAATGGACAATTTTCTGGGTACTTTTTGAACTTTTGAAGCTCAAGACTTCTGTTAAATTCTGTCTCAATGGATGTCGACTAATGAAAGTGATGCAAAACATTTACTACATCAATGTCAATAGAATTCCTTCAATTTGCATAAACCAAACATGTTATATTTGCACATTCTGATATGCTTTTTTGTAAGAGATGTATAAACAAACATTGACAAAAAATTTGATACATTTTAGTAAAAAAAAAAAAAAGAATTTATACCCAATGGTGATAAAACTATAATTAGAGGAGGGTTGGGTGGGGGAAGGTCCGTTTTACTTTAAATCTAGTTTACAGAAAATGCAATTGATTATTTTAATGTGCACTTCAAATGCCTATCCTCTCACAAACTAGTGAAAACAAAATACAATCATACAAATTATTGTGTATTTCAGCAAATGCCTGTCATTATCTCACAAACTGTTGAAAACAAAATACAATCATACAAATTACTGTGTACTTCAGCAAATGCCTGTCATTATCTCACAAACTGATGAAAACATAATACAATCATACAAGATTCCCATTCAAGCAATCACATTTCATAAAGAATTTACATGCAGTCTATCTTGGCAGTGTACACCCAAACTCAAACTGATTGTTTAAATAAATAAATGGCACAACACAATATTATCTTATAAATATTCTGTGTTGCAGAAGTATGTGCCCATTTTACAATGCACATCACTTTTACCTACATTTGCTGCCACTTTATCTTCATTAATAACATTCACAATCAAAACTTAAGGACCACATATTAGCTCCGTCATTTTCATGTATATTGATATAATTGTAATCGTCACTCTATGGCTTATAAGGAATTAAGCGCCAAACAAAAAAAAAATATGATCAGACTGGATAAATTGATGTTTTTCTGATATAAAGCACAATTTTTAATATCGTTAACATATTGATCAGGTTTTATACTTTGTTATTTTCCATTGCATGATCATACATTTCTTTTATCTCATTAGCAAAGTATTTAGAAACATCCTGGCGTTTTGTTTTGAAAGTGGGAGTTAACATTCCATTTTCAACAGAGAAAAGTTCAGGGTGTATGTGAATATCTTTCACCTAAAAAAATAGATAAATTAAAATACGTTTTAAAAGTAAAAAATCTTGGCAAAATTAAAATGGAATTGTATAAAAGTAAAATGGCTTTGAATGCATAATTATCTACCGTTAAAATAATAGAAAACGGGATCACTATTCTGTAATGAATACCCTTTCATGTGCATGCTTTTCTATTTAGATTAGCACACCAAATGAATGCACTAATTGTGTCTAATAGTGTGATAAAGTAGTACTTTATATAAAACTGTTAAAAATTGAATGGTAATTTCATTGGGTCTTGATGTATGTGTCATTTGAAACAGATTAAATCATTCAGAAAAAAAAGAGCATTAGATAAAAAATAAAACTTACTATTTCAAGTGATGATAAACCACTTTTCTTTCCCAAATCTGTTAAATCTTTTAAAATTGCCTGTTTCACTTCCTGTTCAGTGAAAAAAAAAAGTTAAAACCTTAGTCTAAAATTTGTATCAAGTTTCTAGAATTTCTATTCTTTCTGGTAGTTACATTAAAAGATTATTGAAACATGCAAAAGTATGAAATTTTTAGCGCAATTTCCATTCTGGAGAATTGCGTTTATTAACTCGTCATTTCTGGGAATGGATGGATGGATGGATGAATGTGTGTCCGGGCTTTAAGTCGTATCTCCTCCTCAACGAAGCAATATCGATGACTAGTTCCAAAAGCAATTATGTTAAGCAAGTTACGAGAATGAGCATAGGCCATAGAAATTCCGGGTTTCTTTCATGTATTTCCCGGAAAAGCCAAAAAACCTCGAAAAAATGCAGTTTTTGGCCCATATCTCGGCAACCAGACCACTTAGCGACTTGAAACATGTACCAATCGATTCCTGCCATAATTTAGAACAACATTGCCGAAGAAAGTTTTCAAAATATCCTCTCGTTCGGTCACAAATTTTTAAAATTACATAAACACCTACAAACCGATTGTTCTTCTAGCTTGAACGCACCAAAGCATTATACGTCAGAGCTATTTTTAGATAACATAAGGAAATTGCGCATAAATGTCACTAGACTTTTTTAATTAACTTGTTTTTTTATAAAAGACAAACTTTCCAGTTTGGCTTACAAACCTTGATTTGAATGAGCTCCTTTATACTACCATTGAAGCCAAGCTTACTACATAAAGCTGGAAATGTTTCTGGGTCTGGAATTACAATCCCCACCAAAAACGCCTGTTTAAAAAAAGCAGTTATGAGAAAAACTATTTAAAAAAAAACCTCATTGACTCTAAAAGCACTGCAAGTTACAAATAATTAAATTGTGCTAATATAAAAAAAAAGACTCACTTTTTTAAAATTATCTATTTACAAAAATTCTAAACAATAAATTAAAATAATTAACCATGCTAAAAAGGTATTAATTATGAAAAAAAAAAGACTACCTGTAAACTGTCACCATGTACATAAATTTGAGCAATATATGGTGATTGGACAAGAACATTTTCAATCTTTTCTGGTGCAACATATTCTCCCTATGTTTGAAATAAATTATTTTATAATTAACATTAATCAAACGTGTAAGAAGACCACTGAATGTATTATCATTTATTTAACATTGCCAGTAAAAGAATTCTGTTTTTAAGTTTTTAACAGAGTAAATGCTTTGAGAAATGATTACCTGGGCAAGTTTCAGGATATTTTTTTTCCTGTCTATTATTTTCAGTGTACCATTCTGTTGGTAAAAAAATTATTTGTCACACAACAGTCAAGGAGACAATAGCAAAACAAAGGAATAAACAAAAAATCTAAAGAGTAGTAGTTATATAGGATTAGTACTAAAAATTAACTGTAGATTTTCCTCAAAAAAAGTAGGCCTATATTTTACTGACATGTGTTATACATTAGATAACTGCTTAAAAAAGTAACCCCATTCCCATTATTACAAAACATTGTTATAATAGAAATTCTAAAATTTCAGTCAATATATTTATTACAGTTTTGAAAAAAAAAGTTACGACAGATATGCTGATCTTATATTTAAAGATTCAAATTCATCCATATTGCAATAAACAAACCTAGCTGATTAATAGAAACAGGACATGTTTACATAGAGGAATGTGATTCACAATTATTTACCAAAAAACAACAGACAAAAAAGAAAAAAAGCTTACAGCAGCCCACTCTCCAACATCTCCTGTATGAAGCCAGCCATCATCATCTAAAGCTTCTTTGGTTTTTACAGGGTCATTCAAATAACCCAAAAATATGTTGCCTCCCTTCAAACATACCTGTTGAAGTGTGACACAATTAGCAACAGCTTTTAATTAAAATCATCTTCGTAAGATTGTATCATATTGTTTAAAATTAGTTTGGTTCAGTAAAATCCTGTAAAGCAATCTTGCCTCTCCCTTGTTGTTATTAGAATAGTAATCCATTTCTGGAACATCTGCTAGCTTAATCATAGTACATGGTAATGGTGGTCCAACATGGCCTGAAGAGAAAAAAGTTTAAATAAGAAAAAAAAACTACTTAGAGAAACAAAATTAAAACAACCCAAGTTATTCAATATCTTACCAGAATCTGGGTCACCAACTATTGTCAGTGTACAGACAGCTGAATTTTCTGTTTGTCCATAGCCTTCAAGAATCTGATTAATATATTAAAATGGTATTAATTTCATAAATATTTTTACACACGTTTAAAAAAAAAAGAAAAGCTAATTAAAAATAGCATTTGCTGAAAACTTATTTTTAAAAATTATCCTAATTGTAAGGATAAGTAAAAGATGAATGCAAAGATTACAAAGATACATTTTAGTATTTCAGCAGATTAGAAATGTTTGATGAACAAACTGCCATAACCAACTTAAAAATTCTTTCTCTTAAAAAATATTTACAACTTTTCATTTATTTTTAATGAAGAATATTTTAGTTTTATAAAATATGTACACCATCCCCCATTAGGTCATTTAAAAAAAGTATAGAAGTGTCTTTACTTACAGGACAACCCACTATGCACCTCAAGAAACTTAACACAGTCCCAGAGATGGGGGCTGATCCTGTAGTTATGAGACGCACACGACCACCTAGAGCTGCTTGTACATTTCGGAAAACAATTTTATCCCATATGCTGTTGTTTCTTATCACTCCCCTGAGGACAAAGATTGTACATTCAAAACTAAAAAGTAGTAAAGATTGTGTTTCATTTAATTAGAACCAGAAACAAAAGTTAAAAAAAGCAACTGTCATGGACATTCTATAATGACTTAAAGAGTTATGAATCCGATATATCTAGAAAAATTTATATTAGCAGTAAAAAGTAAAAAAAAACTCACCGTTTCAGTTCTTTACTTTTACTGCTCATAGCCAGATCAAACAAGAACTTCTTGAGTTTGCTGGAATTCACACCGGATAATACCTTCAAAGAAAAATAATCATTAGAAACAAGAAATTTCCTAATTAAAAAAAAACAACAACAAAAAACAATGATTCATGTTTGTTACCTTATCATAAAACCTATTCAACAATCTAGGCACAGATGGAAAGAGGGTAGGTTTGAGTTCTTTGATGTCATCCATTAATTTTCTGACATCACCTTGGAAAAATCCAATACGAGCACCTACTATTAAGATGCAGGCCTGAAATTTAGAAAAAGGGTTCACAAAAATCATAAATCAGCTTTTAATTTCTAAATATACATAGCTGTGCAATTTTAATACATATACATCACTATATTATAAAACAAAAGGCTAATTGTTTAAATTATGCAATGACTAAAATATTGTAACATTTTCTAGTATTGAACTCTCACCTCAATGATCCTTTCATAGGAATGTGCAAGTGGTAGGTAGGAAATCAATGAATCCTCATGGTTCAGTATTATCCCACATTTTTCCTAAAGAGATATATTTTATTTTCTATCAATAAGCACTTCACCTGATTTACAATGCATCACAAGTAACCATGAAAACAGAATTTTCCCCCTTCTGCACCAAGGCACATAGGGCTGCCACAGAAAGCATGTGTGTTTGTAAAAGTGACAATAAATCGTGAAATTTTCAAAACAAAAACACAGAGTATGATTTCAAGATTAAAAGTTGAGGCTTTGTCTGGCAGTCAGAGCAGGAATTAAAGAAGAGGACGATAACATAGTTTTAGACATTGATCTAGCTATTTTGGAAATGCTTATTACATGAAATTTATCCATTTCAATGGGCAAAGATTTTTTGCTGTTTTGCACAACCAATGTTAGAACAAACAACTAATAAAACTTGCTATTGCTAACTAAATGAATTCTTTCTGGTTATAATTATGATAAAACTTCTACAAAAAAATTCCAAAATAGGATGAATTCTGAAAAACAAATCAACTTACCAAGAATAACAAAGCTCCAGAAATACATGCAATCATATTGGCATGACTCAACATAGCTCCTTTAGGTGTACCTGAAGTATTTAAATAAAAATTACATTAAAAAAAAAACAAAGACTGCAGCTTCAACTCTTAAGACCCGAGTTGGCAGTTTTAAAAAAAAAATCATTTACAAATCCAAAATTTGATTTAGAAATAACCGAAAACAAACTTCCTTATAATATTTTATCTATAGCTAGCATGCATTGGTTAATTATTTTTTGAAAAATCATGTCCATATTAACTATTTGTCACAGTATCAGAGATACATATATGGATGACAATTAACTGTATCAAGTTATAATGGTGATATGCCAAATTTACAAGGACATAATAGCACTGGTAATAGACATCTGTTATCCTTTGAAAAATTTGTTGTCCATTTTACAGTGGTTTTACAAAGATCAATGACTAACCCTTTACTGTGTTACACATATTTTAAAGTAATGGCGAGGTGAGAATTAAGCTGCAGCATAGGAAATCTAAAAATAAATACTAAAAAAAAATATCAAACCTGTTGTGCCACTTGTATAACAAACCATACACAAATCACTGGGTTTGGGGGGCTGAAATACAAAATTTGTTTTACTTCATTAGATAATAGTGAAGAGAACTACATTTTACTATGATTGGAAGTACACTGTTTTACTCACCCTATAATCCATTTTCTTCCCCTCCAAACTTTTAAAGTTTATTCTAAAAATTGTTATGATGAGAAATTAGATCAAACTATATTCAACACAGCTTTTAATGACAAAACACTTACTTTAGCTTCAACTGGGTTTTCTCTGCCCAATTTCTGTAAAGTAAATAAAAATGTGAAAACATACTGTTGATGTATTCTAAAACTTTTGATATATTAAATATGTGATGCAATAAAGTAATAGAAAGAATATTTTGCACAGTGGTTCTGAAACGTTTTGAAGGTACTGAACTCCACCAGCTACATAATCGCATTTAACGAAGCCCTTTTAGTAAAAAAATACAATGTGATTTTTTTCAAAATTCGCTTTCTTTTTTGCTTGACATAGTAGGAAGCAATAAAAAGACAAACAGTCATGAGTCAACAACTGGGCCACGATAAAGAAATAAAAAGTATATTTGTCATGTTAGAGTGACGGAACGTCAAGGATTCCACACTAGAAATATGGTACTGGTGCACTTTATTAATATGTCGTTTTGTCTTATAAGTTATTTGAACTCTCACGGGCCATAGATGCTATAATCGTCTGCACTGATAAAAAAGTCGAGCGTTTGACCTCAACCAAACCCCTGAGACTGACTCACCAAACTGTTCAATTGAACCCAAGTTCAGAACCTCCGATTTAGCATTATGATTAATATAAAGAGAACACAAATAAATTGACGAACCTCAACATCTTCAAACTGTATTAAATGAACTCCATCATGAGCTGCTCTTGTCTTATTTTCTTCTGTAATTTTTTCCATTAAAATAATCCGTGTTAAAACAGGAAACTTTTTCCGTCTATCAAGTAATGCTGTAACTTTTGCATTGTTGTCACATATAATTGTGGAGAGTTCAGCTGAAAAATAATATACAAAGTAGTTAGCATGTTAATATAACAAAATACATATTTTAAATAAATAATTTGGCAAACAAGAAATCCAATTAAGTTACCTTGATTTATAATAAAATTACATGCTTCTTCTCCAAGTGTATCATACAAGGGCACACCACAGATTGAATGTCTGAAAAATCCCTGATCTGCTATAGTGTACTGAGGAAGTATTGTAAAGTTTTGTTAAAAACATATTAGTTTTTGATTCATCCTAGATGGTATTCTATGTTTGTATTTTAATAACATGGGTGGTTAATTTTTTATTTTATTACATATTCTTACTGTAGAATGATAGAGCATAAAATAAATTATTCAGCTGTTTTGTGAAAGTGTTTCCTTTAGTAGGGGAGTACATTTTCCCCATTATTGTTTAAAATTTTATTTACGTTTAAGCATTAGTTTTAACCTAGTTAAAATTTAGTGACATACTTTAATTTTAGTAAGTATATTTTATATACTTAAATTTTAGTAAGTATTTTTTATATCTAAAATACCTAATTTATAATGCCTTTACATATATAGCAGATGGGCTGAATTTAAGATACATAAATTATAAAAAAAAAAAACAACAGTTTTAGTAAAAGCAGCATATATCATAGTTTCTCGTGGCCAGCACTATGTCCAGTGTTTACCTAACATAAGTCAGATACCCATCAGAGTTGGGTGGTCCAGACTCCAGCCTGGGATTGAACTAGACTTTCGAGTTAGAGTGTTCCCTAGTAGCATGCATTTTTTAAGTTTACTTTAGAGAAATTTCAAACCTCAGGTCTGTTCTGTGAATATATTCCAACTCGTGTCTCATTTTGAGGCTTTAAACCAAGAGAAACCAGTCCAGAACCAAAGGCTGTGACTCTTTCATTGACCTGTCAAGAGTAGAAAAGGATACATTTTTAATGCAATACAATTCTGATGTCTCAATACAATTCTGATGCCTATTGGTTAAAATGCCTGTTGTGTTGTGATAAGAAAAAACCCCATTGGTGTAAAAGGCATTTTTAAAAGTCTATTTTGAAACAAAATTTCCCTTTAATTAAAATTTAGCTGAAAATTTTCTTAGCTAATCTGGCTACTCATGTATATTTTTGGTATGTCTGCACTAGTAACATTTGGGTAGAAACATTTTGCAAGGCCATTTTGGTATTTTTAAAACTTAAAAAAAAAAAAATCAAATTAAGATGGAACATTTTACAGTTTAGGTATAGCTTGATAAAAGTTTACATACAGCAAACATTTTCTGATAGTACAAAACCTATGACAGTATATTAAGTACATTAATGTTTCCCCTTAACATCACCAACATAGATCTGTAGGTTAGCAAGGATTACTAATTGAACTATTGCAAAGTAGCTTAGTGTAAAGAAAGATAGTGCATGAATAATAAGTGTTGGTGTGCCTACTGAAAATTAACTGTAATATATGCATATGGACAAAAATATTAAGACAGTGGTAGTCTAGTGAATGACATGTGAAGCCAAAAACCAATCCCACCTGCAGACTTATAGCCTATCTGATGTTTTTGCTTATAAAACGTGTGGTTCATGAGCAATCATTTCAAATTTAATAAAGAATTAATAAAAACAATAAAAAAAATGAACTTTGAAATACCTCATTATATGTTAACCATTGATAAGGTTTGTCTGGGGAAGGTTTCCAGCCCAGGCAAGGCTTGTCTCCTAAAAACAAAATAGCATACAAAATTAGATTTCTATTAAATTTCTATTAAATAATTACACATACCAGTCTAATTTTTTTTTGATAGTTCAATCCTCATGACAACTCAATAAAACACTAAACAGTAAGTCCAAATTTTTGTGATAGCCCCTTAGCCCTAAAGATATTCAGATAAGCAGTACTTGTTATTTTAAGTCAGTTAAGTACTATAGTAACAAAATACAACTAGATTTTCATTAATGTCAACTCTTCGGCTACCAAATTATCTACAAGATAACTAAACAATTCTAAGTTGCTAGATTTAGGCATAGTACTCATAATTTGCATTTGACCACTCATGTTAAAGAGTTGGAAAGTCTCAATAAACAAGAAATAATTTAAACAACAAAATAAAAAGACTACCTACCTGAACTACGGACTCCTTTTTGGAAACCTTCATACAGTGTAGTAACATCTTCTTGATAAACACTAACTAGTTTATTGTCAGGGCATAGACGAGATATTCGTGCTCCATCAGTTGTCTAAAATTAAAAATAGATAAAATAAAACGTTAGTTCTTCATGAAGTAAGTTCAAAATAAATTTAAGATGTTTAGGTTGGGGTATATATTTTTTTTAATTTAAAGAAGTGCTTTAAGTACCATGTATGGTAACAGAATAACTGTCTCAGTTTTAAACAAAAAGCTGAATTTTCAAACCAGACCAGTGTGTCCAATTATGGTAGTGTCTAGACAAAATCATTCAATTTTCAATTGACTAGAATTAGATCTAGATCTAGATTATCTAGTCTTAGTCTTGAGAAAGTCAGAAAGATCTAGATTTCTAGAGTAGTAGTAGTAGATCTAGAATTTTTAATTTCTATATCAAGAATCTAGCAAGAATCTTAGACTAGATCTCTCTCTAGCAGTAGATTCTAGATCTAAAATCTAGATTTTTTTTTAAACGACTTGGTTCTGTGACTGTCAGTAAATGAGTAACTGACTAGAATCATGATCTAAGCACTCTAATCTAAGGCTAGGCCTAGCAGACCATACTCCCATAGATCTAGAATCTAGATCTAGTCTAGTTAGTTTTGGCTTAAAATAATATAAATATTAAAAAAAAAACAACAGATCAAGATATCTTGATCTAGAACAGACACAGCCTGTTGTGCTCCATTAATTATCATCATGTTGTTAACTATTGTTCTAAAATGTTAAATTAAATATTAAATAGATCTAAATAGGCCTAAAATCGGTAATCTATCGTTTTGGGTACGTAAAATCGCCCGCGATTTGTAATGTGAAAAACAGGTGACTCCTTAAATTTTAATAATTATTTCACATTTTGAGGAGGATTTATGTTTTAAAAATTCAAAAATGTTTCCTTGATTCATTTATGTACCTGTTTTTAAACAATTGAATTAAAACTTTTCCCCAATAAATGAGGACTAGCGATGTTTCCAACAGATGCAACCATGCTTATTTAGTATAGCAGCCATCTTGTCTAAGTTTTATTTTTATAAGCTTTTAGCGCCAGATTCAGGGGGAAGCCACTCTATTTTACAAATGGCTGCCGTTTATATAGCAAATCTTGCTCTCAGACACTGCTGTTTAAAGTTAATTTCTGGCCTATATCGATATATTTAGCCATTGATTTAGGTTTATTATTCATTTATCTATAATATTTGACACAAAAGTATGACAATATACTTCTATTAAAGCCTTGACAATGAGGTAACGTTTTCGTACATAAATAGCCGCGGGCGATTTTACGTACCCAAAACGATAGATTACCCTAAAATCTAAATATTAGTTTAGTGACTTTAGTCAAAGTCAGTCACGAGGCTGCTTCTCGGAAAAATTCTATAAAATCTAGATCTAACTAAATCTAGATATCTAGTCTCAGTCAAGTTAAATTAGTCTAATAAAAGAGAAACCAAGACTCACTTTGTCAATTAAAATTTTAGATTGATTATGTCTATCTATCATAAGTTTATATCTGTGTTTATCGCCACAGCATTGTGACATTTTCAGTTAACCGTAGTTCCAAAAATGTACGAAATGTGTTAGGCTAGCAGCATCTCGAGTACCGGTATGTCAACAGGAAGTTTTGGTTTTTATAAAATAGAGGCGTCGTCCCGGACGTATAGGGCTGGATTCACAATGACATGTGATCACAATATTGTTGTGAACTGATCACGATATTTTGAACATTTTAAACTAGGCCTAACAGATGCGATATTGCCTTGTGAACTAGTGTTCTAGTGTTTAGAATTTTGAGTCAAAAAATGAAGGGCTAGATGTAAGCCTCCCTACTAAAATTTGCATATAGAATAGATCTAGGTTACTACGCAGTATAGGCCTACTTCGAATAATAATAATAATAAAAAAAAAACTAATTTTTTGAGTGCTCGCCCTAGATTCTGGATCTAGACATCTAAATCTAGGTCATTACTGTTTTTTTTTCAATGAAAATTGAAACAACGCATCGCGACTTCCGCGTTGTAATCAGCCTATTAGAATTAATATAATAATACTTAGACACGTCACCAAAATCGTTTGTGATTTAATTAATAATACACTCTTTAGAATAAACCAAAGCAAGGGGTATATTGAGTTTGTTTAAAGAGTTCAGCTCGTTAGTTTTACACAATCAGATTTTGACTGAACACTATATGCTACTCTCTAGCTTCTAAAGGCAAACACGACGAGTGTATGACAGTCACATGTATTAGCAGAAATGTATTGACCATTACAAGATAAAACAACCCATGATTTTTTATTTACCCACGAGATAAACGACTATAACTATTATTAGTTGGATGGCTTAGATTACATTCGTATAAACAAATAAGTAACCCTCAGTCTATAGATCTATATAGTTCAACTTGAAAATACAATACAAAGAGGGCATGGCAATGACGCAATACAACTACACAGAGGCAAAGTTACACCACGTTCACACTTTCGACTTGTATACTATATGGGAAAATTTTTTCCATATGTAATTAACTTTTTCTCAGTTGTTTTTCTAGACATGTGAACAAACAAACAGATCTAGCAAATCTAGAGTGTAAAACATGCACTGACATCAACACACACACACAACGCAGGGTCAACAGCACATCAGGGACTCATCCGTTTAATTTTGGTCATTAGTTCATTTCTGTTTTATTATGTATACACTTATCCAATCTAAAATACAATTGTATTAGCAAACACTTTTGGGAAGAAAGAGAGTGGGAGGGGAGAGCGTGCAAAAATATCAACTAGGCCTACAGTTCATAGACTTCACCACAATGACTCATAACTGGACCAGGGAACACATCGGCGAAAACACGGCCGGCATGTTTCACTACAGGTATCTAGATCTCTACTCAACCACAAAAACATGAATATCCAACACAGGCACGCATGTTTACCACTTTGTAATGCTTGTTGGTCCTCTTAGACTGGGTCTGTAGCCTCACGTACGGGGGTATGTCGTAATAGCCACGGGACGAGAACAAATTCCCCATTTTTGTTTTTTAATGAACAATCATCCGAGCCAATGCGCGAGTGGAAGTCAATGTGTAATCCGCGAGTGTGTAATCCAATCGTGTAGAAAACAACACTTTCATTCACTGCGTCACACACTTCGATCAATTAACACTATGAACACAGTTATATCGTGTCATTGTTTTTTTTTTAAAACTATAAATACAACAAAAGACGGTTCTAAGAATCCTGAGTAGGCCACGAGGTATGTCGTCTCCCCAGTACGGCACCACCACGTTGTTGCTATGCGCACGTTTATTGGTGGAGCGGCATCGCGCGACTCGGATTTCTCAAGTCGGCTCCCACACTCGGCTCATACTCGATCGATAAGTAGGGGGGCTATTTATAGCGTGACCTTGGCGCGCGCGGAATAAATAGAGCAGGCTATTCTCTGTTGGCCCGCACCACGTCAAAGGTATTTTCCAATGCGCAGCAAGCGTGTTTATATGATGCAATGGCTTGTTTGAGTCACGTGATGTTTGTCTACAATGTGTACAGTGATCACATGATCATTTTACAGTGAAGCCACATATTTTATTTACAAACGACTGACCCGATAGAGAAATACGTATTTAAAAAACAAAATAGTTATGTGACGTTTTAAAGCAATTTCCATGCCAATTTTAAATGCCAAACACGACCAAAACAACAGGATATTGTTTGCAATAGACGAAGGGATAGAGCCTTAGTGTCTCATAAGACTTCATTCCCAATATTTCATCTGGTCTAAACTTTTTGCCACCGTGCCATCCCCCTTTACATAACCAACAAAACTTCACGCCAAACAAAGCTACCCTTCTAATATACAAATGTTTCTTCTACTTATTGGAATAACCACAACACCTATGGGTCAAAACTTCCAGTAAATGAACTGTCCGTGATTAAGACAGCAGCAAAATAACAACACCCCACGATGGTGTAGCCGGTGTGTTGAAAAAATAACTTTTTCAATATACACATATTTTAACATTCAAAATTTTACTTGCACACGTTAACAAATCGCAACATGATGTCCAGCAATTGCGTTAGGTGTCCCAGTAATTGAAGATTTACCAATCGAGTCATGATAAACTAAATAACAAAAAAAAAAAAAAAAAAAAAAAAAAATATATATATATATATATGAATTGGAGCCTTTAATTTAAGCTCTCCACATCTTTGCTTAGCTTTACAGCATATCTTGCCAGCAGTTTATATAGCCAACATAAACTAGACCCCCATTGGCTTCAGCGTGTGATACGGAACGGCAAAAAGAAAAACACATATCTCGACAACTCAGAGGTGAGTACAACTAGTAATCTAAAAAAAAATATAATTTCGATTTTAGAACCATGGGGCACTTAAATATATATTTTAACCACATGTTTGGAGAAGGTCAAATAATATAAATAAATAATCGAGTCGAATATAAAAATATACGTCTAAATAAAAATGCCCCCCCCCCCCACCACCACTAACAAAGTTGATCAGCACATGAGAGACATACATAGACTAGACATGGCTTGACAACAAAAGACAAGAAGAGGGGGGGGGGGGCAACACAGAGAACTGGGGTGTCGACAGGTAGTGTGTGTGTGGGGGGGGGGGGGTACAGGTAATCAATATTAACTAATTAGACAGGTACGCTGTGGTTGCAATGTTATACATGATATTACTGCAACAATTTGCTGACAGGAATATTTAAAAAAAAATGTACGGTAACACAATGGTGTTGTTCTGTGAGTTAAAAACAAATAATGCGCTGGACTAACTACTGGGTTAATATGAATGTACGGTCGTATTAAATAAGAGTCGTCATGGAACACATGCGACTGGAGAAACTGATATACAAGCATTAGACAAACAGCGATAGATTTACCGCGTGGTGTAATGTAATTCATGGCGGAAACCCTACTCTCCATCACATTTTAACTATATCGTATTTCATGAGTCAGCTAACATGTTGCCGCTACAAGTGCTTTACATATTCCATCAGTGTAACTTATCCATGGTAGCACCGGGTACCTCAACTTTGATGATGATATAGGGAGGAAAAGCTTACAGTTTTATAGTACACAAGTTTATGGTACACAGGTTTATGGTACACAGTTTTATAGTTTTTTAGTACACAGTTTTATGGTACACATGGTTTTCATATTTTTAAAATCGATCTCTTATCCATGTCAACATGTCTTAGCTTATTGTAGGTAAACCTCTTGATATTTGAAAGGTTTACACAAATCCCATGTAAATGTCAAGTTAGAAATGTCAACGTATAATGGCCATTGACAGCAGGACCAAACACTGGGAGTAAGGGACCTAACAAGCTCATGCACAGAGAGAATCAGCTCACGGCTCAAGGTGACACGTACAGCACAGGTCGTGGTGAGCACAACATGCAGGCACATCAAGACAACCCCCCTCACACATATACACCTTACAACAAGGACCAGAGGGAAACACGCGACCTTCAAATACTGCTCACTCACACATCAGATAATATTTATAAAGGGAAACAATCGAACACATGTGAAAGACAATTCTATAAAGGGAAACAATCGAACACATGCGAAAGACAATTCTATAAAGGGAAACTAACATCTGAGAGAGACAACTCTCTAAACGTAAGTTTGTGATCGTATGATAATTGATATGACATTGAGTCTACAATTTAAATAAAAAACTGCGTATGCAGCTAAGAGATTAAAGATTAGACAATACAAATTATTGTATATGTATAGAGCCAGTCAGCTTTAGGGATAAGGACAGGCTTAGCGGAGAAATTCACTAGCTCGAGGATTAGTCTGGGCAAGTCGTGACATTAGAAAGTAAACAGTTCTCTATCAGACTAAAGAGTTGAAAGAAAAAGAATAGTTCATTATACTACTAACATCATCAAAATCGGTGACTAAAACTACTCTTGTGATACAACCACGACAATCCAGTATATCACGCATCACAAGATGATGTCTGAACACTCGAGGTCTTCATGCAATACAGCGACTTCATGGTCCTCGAGGGTGAGTATAGCATCCCCCCCACCCCCTCCATCCATTCACAGACGGGATATTTGTTCTCATTTAACTATCTACATGGCGTTGTTCAATGGCCGGTACTCTCATTCTGCTTACACTTTTAAAACATGATTTGGAGTTTTGAATTTTATTTTCTTTTTCCTTGAGCTGTTTTTTTGGGTAAGTTTAGTTCGTGTTTAAAAGTTTGAATGTGTATGTTTGTTTAGAATCCATTTTTTTCCCTGGTGAATTGATTTTCGCAATGTAATTGATTTAAAAAGATAAAATGTCCATTTATTTTACTATTACCGGACATTTGGTTGTTAGTATTTATAATTCTTTATCCCCTGGAAACTGAAAATAAAAATGCTTGAAGACTTAACGTTTGCGTTCAAAAACGGCTGGACTTAACTTCAACGAAGAAACGAATATAGCCAATAAAGGCAATCGAACTTAACATTGGGATCAAATACATCGATTATATACACACCAAACAATTCCAATCAACGCCACCTCTCTGTGTACAAGCTTACCTATCCCTATGACGCAGTACACGCCATACCTGGCCACTGACCGACTTAATTAACCCGTGCATCCTTATAGACAACCTCACCTGAATCGACTGACGGCTCAAGTCGTTCACCGGTTCTTGATGTACTTTGTACGAGGACTGTTTATTTTTTTTCTCACCCGGCATGGTTGGCCTAGGACTGGCCTCTCCCATATCTGTCCAGCAGGTCCACGAAATCAACCACCAACAAACACTACTAAACAATACTCCAACGAGAAGGAACAGAGTTCACAAAACAAGCCGTCTTATTAGGGCCCTAATGACTGCAATGTGCATACAAACACGCGCTAGCTAAAGCAAGCTTAACTAACTTAGACTGTCGCACTAGGCAGAACAACTTGAATAAATAACGCACCAACACTCCTCTTCGCCAAACTGTGTTAAAACTTGTTGATGTTTAATAAGGCCAGGTAGTCTAGTTGGTTATTGGACGCGTCCTCGTGCCCTGTGTTCTGGTCCATTGAGGTAGACGAACGTGTTCTTAGCTGCATATAGAGGTCCTATGTGTTCACGTTATATCAAGCGTTAAGCAACAATTATATAAGGGGCCGGTCTTCACGGCAAGTCACGTGTCTCTAGGGAAATCTACCATAGGTTTATGTGCCCGGGGGTGGGGGCAACAAGCTCAATACACAAATATGAGTTTAGAAAATAAGTAACACAACAAAGTATTTTTTTACTGCTAACATTCCTGATGTGAAAATTTGAATAGATCTCCTAAAGAAAACACAAGCAGAAACAGCGAAATAAATCCGGTTGGGGAAATAATTTGGTTTCACTTCCTGATGGTAGGTTTCCTTCTTGTTTACTTAACAATTTTAATTCAATCAGACACTTGTCTAATTAAAAGTTACGTCATCTAAACACGCCATGAGATTACATCGTGCCTGATTGGTTCATTCAGAACAAGCGCAACTCGCACATAAAACTACTAATACGAAGAAAACATGAGCAAGTTCTCAGTCCGGTAGTTGAGAGTAGGTCTGAGACCACAGGGAAATGATACATTCCTCTGTGTTTACATTTAGGTCTAGTGAAGCTTCAGTCAACAACAGGGAACTGAATAAAAAATTCATGATTCACTAGGGCAGTAAGATTCGTATCTCTCACAAGCAGTAGGTTCGACTTCCTACTACATTATGACGTGCTGTAGAATTGTCTAGAGCACAAACAGTAGGTTCAACGTTTCTAATCCAATGTAACCTGTCATTTACTTGTCTAGGCACCAAATTACATCTAGCTTCAACTTTATAATAACTTTAGTGTATTGGCTAATATCGACTGTTAACAATCCTAGATAGCAACAATAATACATGTTTGTGTGGACAGTGCAGATCTAGATGCCAAGCCTATGGAAGTTTAAATGGACATTGTGCATATCTAGATATTTATGGGCAAGACAGAGAGCGGATTTTAGCAAGCACACAACTACACTAAACAAGTCCTTATACACCAATAAAATGACTATTTTTTTCTAGACCATCGGTACTATATCACAGTTACACAAACTCTACATTTTCTAATCACGCCTTGGAAAGAAGATAAGGTGTATGTAACTTCAAGCACGATGTCAAAAAATAATTACAATAGCTTTAAGGGATGGGGCACTTCAACATTAATCAAATCATCTTTAAGGTGGGGGTACAATCACATTAACTATATCCGTATAGGTTGTGTGTGTGTGTGGGGGTGGAGGGTAGGAGGGTTCCCACAAAAAGTTGACACAAGCTAATCACCTCTACAGGAGATTAAGTACCTCACGGGACTGAAAGACAACTATCGGGCTTATTGCTTTTTTAAACATAATACCCCAGGACGATTGTAATTTTCTACTAGGAACGTTAATGTAATAATAAAGCCATACTTACTTCAATGAGTTGTGTCTGGCTAGTGTAATCGAAAACAGAGTTGTTTCCCTTCATTGTTTCTGTTTCTTTCAAGAGTCGACTTGCATAAAAAACTAACAGGATCTACTGCGTGGATCTACCGACATCAACACAAGACTAATCACATTTATTTCTAGAAAAACGGCACAGTCGTATATCTACTTAAAACAACAGATGCTCACAGCAGATAACGGCATAAATTTAACAACCACACAATAAACTATGTCAACTTTTACAACACAACCTGTGCAGTATAATGTGTTCAGCTCAAATTGTGAGAGGGGGGATCAATAGCTAGCACACGATAATTTAGCTGGTAATTTTTATACTCGACATGTCATCAAATCTACGTCAAAGTTAGCTCCCATCAATCCAGGACGTAAACAACTGTAAGTGGACAGGGCCGGCAACCCAAGGAGCTGATCGCTTATCGGGACTCTCTATTTGGGGAGGTAATAAAACAACATCGACTTTTTCAGTTAATGTTAGTGGTTAAGGATATAATTCTTCAAGTTAAATTTTTCATTGGACAAGCTGTTGCTCGCTTTTTAGGATTGTGTTTGCCGGACATGCCCATCATTTTTACATTGGTGAAGATTGATTCATATAAAATTCATATTAAAACGAAATGAAGACGCAGTGCCGTAGACATACTTCGTGTTTCTTAGAGCAAATACGAATTTGAAGTTTCATTTATCAAATAGGGAAAAACAAAACCTCGATTAATTTATACCAATGAAAGTAGACACATTTTCTAAAATATAAATTCTTCAGAAAATCTAGAACCAAGAAATATAAATGTATAGATCTATTTATGTACAAAACTTGACAACCAAATGTATTTTTTAACTTGACCAAATGAAATGAATAAAATATATTGTACTAGACACTTGTATATGCCTGAATGAATACTCACATTCCGATATATAAATATTATAAATAAACAACCATAGACGAGATGAAACTAGCGAATCAAAGTCTAACAAGGTTAAACCATAGCACAAAATTTGAAATAACTGTCGCAGGGTTGGGAAGAACACATGTAAGCGTCTTGTCAACTTGAAATAAAATAGTGCCAGATAAAGTGGCTACATCACCTATCTCGGCGTGGCTGAAACAGGGTCTAGGTACGACTGTAACCTGTGTCTAAACGTAGACACGACTGGACCAACACAAGATTACATCAGACCCACGTGTCAGACTCAGATTTACAGCTACTTTACTTTTGGAACAAACACTGGTCCCTCAGAGAACATATACAACATTGATATACACAGCTTAACGGCTGTTTGAAACGTTTCGTACAGTTAAGTTCTGATTGCTGTTTGATAGTCGAAGTTTGGTACAAGTAACACATTTGAATGTTGTTTGATAATCTAAGTTTGGTACAAGTAACACATTTGAATGTTGTTTGATAGTCGAAGTTTGGTACAAGTAACAAGTTTGAATGTTGTTTGAAATTCTAAGTTTGATACAAGAAACAAGCTCTGACTGCTGTTTGATAGTCTGTTTGGTACAAGTAAAAAGTTCTGATTGTTTTGTAGGGATCGGCGTGGTCGGGTAGGTAAAGCTAATGGTTGCTAAACCGAAAAGTTCTGAGTTCGTAACTTTTGGACAGAGGAGGCTTGATACCTGGGGACAGCAACTCATCTAGGAGAAACAACTCCACAATCAAACATAAGCAATGAAAGCCAATCCAGAAAGAAAAGCAGACAGAAATCCAACGGCCTAATTAGGTGGTTATTATATTGACACGTAATAAGTAATTGTGTTGGAGGATATCCTGTTCAACATCAAAGTTAAGTGTGATGAAGAGATACACGTGTGATGGTCTATGTTTGGTACACGTAATAGGTTTTGATTGTTCTTTGATGATACAAGTTTGGTAGAATTAGTTTAAACGGTGGGCAAAGATTAAAATTTTGTCAAAGCAGTCGATTTCACAAAATAGTATACCATTAGGTCAAAGTATTCAAATTCACAAAATAGTCGACATTTAGACGCCAACGCATTCCCCAACAACAAATAATCAAAAGAGAAAACCAAAAACGTCTTTATCAATGGCAGATCAACAAGTGAGTTCTAGACAGGCCGTGGCTAAAATCAAAATCTCATACCAACGAGTTCAGTCCTATGTTTTAAACTGGATTCCAGATCAAAGTCTCGCTAGCCCTGTCATATGTCACAATCAGCGTGACTCAATCCAGTTATAGGAGATCATACGATTACAAGTATCATAAGATTCAATAATTGAGCACCAGCCAAGTCAACCCCCCCCCCCACCAGGCCATTATTACACACTCAACCAAACCACTTCTGGTACAGACACATTAGACTGTTAAATTAAGTATCGGTTGACTTGGCCTGACAGTTTATGTTTAAAAGAAAAAAGTACGCAATCATTAGAATAACACCGTCATGCACGAAGCAATTACTGACGTTAATTAATATTAGGGGGTCGTCCATGACTGACGCCACGCGGTTCTAACAGAATTCGGGCCATTTAAACCCCTTCCCTTGTCACGCATTGCAACCAATCTGAATTACCCCCTGCCTTAAAACGTGATTTTATTTATGGGTGGCCCCTACAATGATTGCAAGGACTTTGTATTGCATGGTCACCAAAGTCCGAACTACTCCCATTCATATGTGCCCCCCCCCCCCCATGGTAGTGAGGTTCTTTGAATTGTAACATCAATGTTTAGAAATGGAAACATTGATAAAAGCAAGGAACAGGAAGCGTGGTAAAGTTGTAATTTAACACGCCGACACCATCCCCAACAGGGCATAAGTATAAAAATCTAGTCTACCCGCATTCATAGATGGCTATATAGACACAGACAGACAGACAGACAGACAGACAGACAGACAGACAGACAGACAGACAGACAGACAGACAGACAGACAGACAGACAGACAGACAGACAGACAGACAGACAGACACACACACATTGAACAATTGAACAACACGCTGACACTATCCCCAACAGGACATAATTATAAAAATCTAGTCTACCGGCGTTCGTAGATGGCTCTACAGACACACACACGGACAGACAGACCGACACACAAATTAAACAACACGACACACTTGCTGACTCATGTACATTACTCACACAGCACTGAGTAATCATGTGAGAAGAAATATATGTTAAAAGAAACATTACAATGGTTGAAGTCTGCAGAAACTCAACAGTAAAGCCAAAACCTGCGAGTGATAGCAGAAACTCGGGAATGTCTTAACCTCGGTATGTATAAAAAATTCATATAGAAAAAAAGTGTAGAAGCAAGTGAATTAATAATATCGCTTTTAATTAATTTAAATGAAGCGGAAATCCCATACTGGTCGACAATTATCTCCCTTTATGCCACTTCGGTGCAAGGTGCTATCACCCCAATGCACCCTACCTAGCGACGCCACTTTGTAAATAAACAAATTAAAGCCATTGGATGAATCAGACCCAACAGTACACAGTTTGATTACCACACTTCAATGTTAATAACATCAGCTGTTCAATTTGTAAAAAGCTTTAAATCATTCAATCCCATTTCAATCTGTCAGCTCTACATAGTATACAGGGAGATTAGAGCGCTGTCT